ATATTTAATTTATTTGATTCAACTAAATTTTCTTAAATTTTTTGGGAATCATAAAATTTTTGTAATAAATTTTATGTTAAAACTTTCAAATATTGCATTTAATGTAGACAACTCATTTTAAATTCTATAGAATGGGCATTTATCGCCTTCTAACTAATGCACCACTGGTAAATACTCACAATTTTTGACGTGGTTAAGTCTCCGTACAAACGTTCCGCGAATGACTTTTGCGAATGATAGCTTAATTTGCATTTTCCACTAAAAAACTGATCTATAATCCCGTCTCCCTCACTTATTAGAATCTAAGATTTCACAAAAATTAGTTACAAAATTTCTGTTAATTTAAATTAAATGTCTTCGAACAATATTTTAGTTAATTGACAGAGCGCATCTGTGTAGTAATTTCATTAAATTTTATTCATCATTTACTCTTGATGATGGCGTCACAAATATTCAGTTGACCTATTGTTTTATTTGTACTTCAGTATTAGCAGTTAGCACCCAGCATATATACAAGTATTTTTTATTTTATTGCAACAAAAACTTCAACTAATGAGAAATTTAATGCTACTATATTTCTTATTTTTTTACTGAGACCAGTACTAATTCTTAAACTTCTATTGGGCGAATCAGAACAAAATGAAAATATTTTGAAAAATGAGAAAGTGACACAAAATTATTCAAAATCAATTTTATTTTTGAATTATTTTGAACGGCGTATTGTGTCTTATTCTAAAATCTTTGAATTTGATGCAACAAACTAAAAAGTTTTACACGTGCGAAAAATTACTTTTATTATCCCATATATGGAGAATTTTTGAAATTTTCATATTATTCCTGGAAAACTAAGAAAAACATGAAAGTAAAATTAAAATTTTTTGGAAAAAATTTTCTTTATGATGGTGTAAAATTTTAGCTGCTTATTTGTTGTCCTGTTTCACATTTTTAATTTTTTTTTTCACGAAAATGAAGCAAAAGAAAATTTTTTTTTTTAAGATAAAGAATTTTTTGTGTGCACTTAAGATAATGTAGGTTAAATAAACCAGTATAAAAAATGCTTTATTTAACCCACATTATTTTAAATCTTTTTTTCCTTTCATTTAACTTTAATTTATTTTTTTTATTGTTTTATCGAAGAAGAAAAACATAGTGGTTTTTAAAACCAAAATTACATAACACACACATTCATTTTATTAAATAACTTATAAATTTTTGATTCGAATTGCCCTCAAAAATTTTTGTTTTCTTTTTTTTTCAAAAAATTTCAAATGGAATTGGATAAAACAACGAAAATTAAATAAGAGCAATCATATAACTATTTACTTTGTTACCGAAATCATATAACTATTTACTTTGTTACCGAAAATACATATAAAATTCAAGAAATTTGCAAATAATATATAAAATTGCACCTAAAAGTATGCAATTTTTACTAAATTATTTAAAATTAGAAATATTTTCTAATAGCTGGCTCGGTAGCTTGCCAAATATCACAGTCAAAAGCTAAATATAAAAAATTTCAAAAAATTATTAAAATGTGATTTTAAATAAAAATTTTAATTTTTACGCGTTTAAACAATTTCACTTAATTGCAAATTCTATTTTCTAAATCAAATTTCTATTTTAAATTGAAAATTTCTCTCATAATTGTGGAATAATAATGGCATCTACATAATTAAAATCTTTAATATTATTTCAGTTTTTGATTTATATTATATTTTCAGTTTTTGATTTTGAATTATATTTTTACAATTAATTTGATGTTTTTCTAAAGAAAAAACATAATGAAATCTGTGCAATTGAAACATTAATATTTATTTTAGTAATTTAATTAATATCTACAATAAATTTATAGCTAAATTTATTAATGAAGGAAAACTATGGAAAAAGAACCTTTCAGTCGTTTTTTATTTTAATATTTGATTAAATTTAATTTGTCAGGTTTAAATTGAAATAATTTAATAATTTTTCTAAGAATTTTATTGTTACAAAAATTATGCAAAATTACAAAATAATTCTTGATTGATGGAATATTGCATAATTTTTAAAAGAAATCATAGAAACTTATTAAACAAATGCAATTGCTATATAAAATTTACATAATATCTGTTCCGCAGAATTTTGCCCTATTTGATAATCTATGCTTTTGATTTATAAAATTTTAAAAGTTTAATTAATTCATTAATTATTGTATACACTCACGTAGAGTATTTAGAATTTAGAAATCATTTTCCACAACATTTTATTATAAAATTCTAAATTACAAAAATTCTATTTTATTCATTATTCAAATGTAGATATTCAAGTAAAATTCTTTGGAAATTCGATAAGCTCCCTCTAGGGTAATATGTCAGTTAAAAATGAACATTGAACACAAATAACAGCATAATATAAAGATTCCTTTAAAAATCTCCTATATTAATTAAAATTCTCTTCAAAAAATATTTGAAATTCTTTTCAGAACTTTGTAATCGCCATAGTAAAAAATTCTTTACTGAAAATTTTCAGCTTCTTCTTTTTTTTTTTTTTGTAGGACTACATCCTGTTCGGTATGTTGTTACACACGATTTTGACAAACCATCCATTTTCATTCATTTTTCCTATATGTTCGGTTCAACCAGGTTTTTTCTGTCTCGCCTAATGACAGGCGCCCTTCTGATTCAGATTCTGGGAGTTTTACTAGTTATTTGCCGTATGGTTTTCATTTCTGTGATTCGAAATAGCCGCTTGGTTATTGAGGTATCTGCTTCTACATTCTAAAGCATAAGTTGGAATCGGGCTAATTAATGATTTATATATTCTAACTTTAGAAGCTGTATTCAAGTACTTATTTTTCCAAATGATGTAGCGTAATCATACAGACTACATCATTTGGAACATAATGATGCCTTGTCTGCATCAGCTTTGATTTCAGATTACAAATCTCTATATGATGAAATATTGACACCAAGATATTTAAAGCACATTACTTGCTCAATCAGTTTGTCGTGTCTTCACCTTAGTTTACAAATATTCCACTGAATTAAAATATGAAAATAAAACTCAAACTCAAAAATTAATAAAGTTTAATATGAATTCTACGTAAATTTTTCATATAAAATATAAGGTCATACTAAGAAATTATTAATTAATATTTTTTTATACTTTCAATCCATACTAAAATGGAATTATAAAATGAATGAAAAAAAAAACTATTAATACTTTTCAATTCATTTATTCTGATTGAAATCCTTGAGAAATTAAAAATTAAAATAGCTCTACACTTTCTAAATTATTTTAAAATTTTTCTTCTTTGAAAATTTTTTCTTCTTCTCTCTTTTAACATCTTATCCCTCTCTATAGCTCAATCCTGTTCAACATTGTATAAAATTAGTTTTTATATTTTTATATTTTTTCTTATATCCTTAATATGATCAACATTATATATACATACATATTGATATTAAAAATATGAAAAAAGAGATCCAATTATTGCAACAAATAAAAGTAAAATATATTTGTATATGAAATTATGTAGATATGTAGATGTGTATATACACGAAGATATCTGTATACTTTTACCTAAAATTATAGTGATAAAATGCTAGAAAGCGTTCTTTTAAAAAATGAATAAAATCCTTATGTTGATTTGATCCTTTTCAGCATTTATACTTAAAAATTATATTGAAATCTGCTTATGTCTCATTAAAAATAAAATAAAATAAATATTTTTTACATTTAAATTGTATCTGTACTATATACAGATAGAAAAAATAAAATTTTAAAATTAAATAAAAAATTAAAAATAAAAAAACAATAGAATTGTATTGCATGAAATGAGTGAGGTATTGTTTTCGTATCGAACATCTTTTTTTTTTTTTTTTTTTTTTAATGTTTTATTTATTTTTTCTTTTTTTTATAATAGTACAATTCAAAACAAAACTAAAGAATATTTTTTTTTATAATTATTAATTTAAATGTGCAATGGCCCAAGAGGCTCTCCCATTTATAAAAATATGTTTTTAAAAGCTAATAATTCATTTTTTGTTAATATATTTAATTTACAAATTTTATGTACAAAATGTTAGAATTCATTGAATTCAGATATTATTTATTTAGTGTTGCTAAAAAGTTTTTATAAAAAAGCAACTTTTATAATATAATGTTTAATAACTAAAATAAACTTACCCTAAACTTACATATACTAGAATAAAATTATCTTATACCTAACTTACTCTAATTTCTCCAAAAATATGTTTTATTATAATTAATAAGTTTGTTTAAATTTGGAATATATTTGTCATATTTAAAATATTCATTATTTTCTAAGCTAAGGTTATTTAAATCTAAAGGTATTTTTTTATTTGCTGCATTTCTAATGTAATGGTAAACATCTAAATATGTCAATATTCAAACGGAAATGTAATTTTCCTTGTTTGAGATAAGCGAAATAATTATTACGATCTGTCTGTCTATCTGTCTTTTTACTTGTACATCTCAATTTCAGTTTCCATAGCAAACTAATAAATAGAATAACCTATTGGAAATAATAGGTTCCAAAAGTAAAACTTTCATCAAAAATTGCAAGTATTTCCAAAAATTTTGAAAAATTCCTGTGGGAATAGCCAAAATCTTGAATTGTGATGCTCTCACAAAATCAAAAAATATTCTCAAATTTAATTACTAATTACTCTAGTATTGACATCCTATATCATATGTCGAATATATGCAAATATCATGACATGAATGCTCGATTATTGATCTATTACACTATGGCTGCCTGGTAAAACTACGTTCCATTATAGTTAATTTGGAATTGTTTTATTGGTTGGAGATCCGCATTTATGATTAGATCAATAGCAATAGAGTAAATAATATAAAAAAGTAAGGCAAAAAAAAAATCACTTCTTCACTTATGATAAAATATATAATAGGTACTTATACATACTCACATAAATAAAAATATTATAACATCTCTTATATACTTATGTTATATAAATTTTCCTTTTCTTCTATTTCAGATGATGTCTTATTTTCAAGACGTGGTAGAATGGGTCGTATCGTTAGTCCTAGACATACACTGCCACCAAATACATCATGTACATATTATTTTCATGGATATCCTGGTGATTTGATTTGGTTATCATTTACAAGCTATAGTTTACAAATACTTCAGCAAGCTATACACGATAATAATACATTGGGACGGGTAAGAATAGATTTTATGGTTTTTTTTTTTCTACTTTTTTTAATTTTTCTTCTATTTATTTTCAATTTTATGAAATATTTTATTTATCATTTATATTTTTATTTTTATTATTGTTATACTTACATTTTACCCATAATTCATTTTATAACTTTTTTCTTGTTGCTTTTATAACAATATATTATAAGTATTTCTTGAAGAATCACACACATATGGCATTATTATAGTTATATATAAAATAAAATATTGCATTAAATTGTCATTTTCTGTAATGATGTGAAAAAATCCTTGTTCAACTTTAATTGATACATAAAATAAAATATTTTGAAAAGATAATGTTTATATATGTATAGATTATGTATGTTCGTATGTCCTTACGGATTTATATTAAAGAAATATGTGTGTACATGTATATTATGTACAAATGGGTGCATATTATTATAAAAAATTTTATTATATATGTACAGGATATAAGGATTTTTTAATAGATTTAAATGGCGTTCTCATATTGTTAATAAAGAAGAAAAAAATTAAATTTTTCTATGTTTTATTATTTGTATTATATTATATTATATATAATGAATGCCATAAGTAATAATCCATATAATAGCATAGAATATTATACACGCAGGCACATATTCATAATAATATAGGGAAACTCTTAACTCTTTCACTTAATAAACACTCATTTTTTTTTATTTTAAGATTTTCTAAATAATATTCTCCTTCCTACTTGTGTTATTATCAAAATATATTTTGGATGTATATAATACAAACCCATATAAAATTATAATATTATAAATTATATACAAATATTTTAAGTATTTTATATATTTTAGAACATATAAAAGGCATAAAATCTATCTATGAGTTTTTCTACAATTTATTTTTCGAATGATCTTCTAAAATGTCAAGTGGTGTATGTGACTTAATATTGATGCTTCAATGATTATCAATTTGTCACATATGAAGTTTGTGCTCATACTATTATTTTCATGGCAGTCCATAAAATATATACGCATATTTAATGAGCCTTATATTCGTTGTTTATCTGACCATTGGTGCAGTGGTTATGGCACCGGTCCTTTAACCGAAGGGTCTCGGGTTCAAACCCCGGTCAGGTCACTATAAAAAAAAAAATTATATTCAATATTATTATAACTTAATATACAATACTAATAAAAATATTATACAAGTAATTTTCAAATATTCCTAATATTCGATATTAAAAAAAAACTAAGAAAAATAAATAGTAAATATTAATAACCTCGAATAATTAATATATAAATAAAAAACTACGGCAGGCTAGTCACCTACCTAGTTAAACCCTATGACGCTATGAAACTAGTGCATGAGAAATCATGCACTAGCCCTATGCTCCTTCTAGGAGTGAACAAAGGACAAAAAAAAAAAAAAAAAAATATTCGTTGTTTAATTTTTGTTTTTGATGAGCTTTACTCGTTCTAAAATTTCTTAGTGTCCTTTACACATAATATAACATTTTTTCAATAATAATTTGTTATTTAAATCCTTTAAAATATAATTATGTGGAACAGAAATATATAGCTATATATTGAAAATTACCCAGTATACTAAAGAATATTAGATCAAAGCAATGGCTCGTTAGCTAGCATCTTTTCAACGAAAGTTAATGACAAATTAATGTACTTACTTTTTTAATAAAAACAATCATTTACTTAAATTTATTCGTTAATGTAATAGAATTATATTGTGAAAACAAAAATATTGCATATCTTTCGGGGCAAAAATTTTGAAAAAGCATTAACAAAATGGTTAAATTCAATAATTACATATTAATCTGAGCAGTTTCGCGGGAAAATTTTTTTTTCTAGTGAAATAAATAATTTATTAATATCTGGAAGCTGCTAAAATTTCAAAATCCTATAATTTATCATCTAAGAAGAAAACGATATCAAAAATTTTAAAAAATTCGGATTAAGATGGGGTTTAATTTGAGCGACAATTTTGTCATTGTAATGTTTGACTATGGAATCTTTTGAAAGTAACTAGAAGCAATTTGTTATTATATTTTTCTTTTGCGTAAATAACCCTAAATAAAATGTCATAAAAAATAAACTGCCAAAAACTCGAGTTTTTCAGAATTTAAAGCGATCATAATTTTTAGGGAAGTGAGATTAATAAAAGCTTTTTTCTATAGAAACGGGTTTCAGCTTTCCGTCTTAAAGGGTGCAACTGTGCAAATAAGATAAACAAATGCACGAACGGACAATAGATGATGGCCTCAGATTTTTAATACTTAATTACAAGAATTTTAACAAACATGCTTATGTAAAACCTATTTCATGCATGATTTTAAAAAAATCAATATGACGATGAAAAAGGAAAGAAAATTTAAATATATAGACAATTTATAATTTATTAGGAATAAAACATTTTTAAACAAATCAATTAAACAACAATTAATCAACCGCACTTTACCAATATCACAAATTTACCTTATAATATTCTTGTACGTTATATACTTATAAATTCAATAAAATAAATGAACTATCAAAAATTCAATAATATTATATAATTAAGCTAAAATCAATCAAAATCACCCTGAACGCATTATTCTATATTAAAATTTATTTCCAATTTCAAAATCCGTGAATAAAACTTAAAAATCTGTGTTAGACCCTTTTCATAACATTTTTATATTGTATTAAGGCTATAATAATAAACCACTATTATAGTGATAAAGTTATTTCAACCATCTCATACAAAAACCATTTTGAATTTTCTAATTATTTTGCGTTTTAAAAGAATAATAAATGACTGGCACATTATTGAAAATAACTTATATGTAGGTGCACGCTATTTATGGAAGACACCGAAAAAAATTATATAAATTTTTAATTTTATGCGTGATTATTTATATGAATAGTCTATACAAGAAATTTGAAAATTTTACCATAATAAAATTCTTATACGAGTATAAAGAATTTTTATATTGCAAAAATAATTCTAAAAGCAAACACTAATATTGTAAACGCAAATTCACTTAAATCTGCCCTTATTATAATATAGCTATGAGTCTGCAAGAATATAATATTTTCGTATAATACGATGAAAATACAAATTGGATTTATAGTATCTAGTTCAGTGTATTATAAAATATTAAAATATCTTGCATAAAATGCAATTTCAATTAAAAGTGTTAATACGAGTAAGGATTTCACATAATATTTTATAACGATTGAGTGCAGTATTATTCAAAGCAGGGCAAAAAAAAAAAAAAATGGAAATATTGTTTAACTTTCTTCATAATTTTTTCCTATACCAATTTTATTTTATTATGCATTTGCATACTGAATTTATAAGCAAAATTTCGTATATTTGATAAATTTTTTAGCAACTATAAGCAATAAATTCAAAATCAATAATAATTCATTTAAAATTTTAGTATACATACATGTATTCACTCATTAAATGTACACTTATATTTGAGGAAATTAAATGGATTTTGCAACAATTGTATCATATGTATGAGGAAAAACAGAATATATAAACTCTAATCATATATCAGTTTTCGATTTTATTTCATTGCCTAATCATTAAAAAAAAATTGTGCATATTTTCCAACTACTTAACTAGTGTACACATAAATTTTACTTATTATTGTCGTATTTTCTGAACATCCTCAACAGTTTTATATTTCTAAATATATAGGATCTGTGAGTACTTAATGAATGAATTACGTTTTCCAATTCATTTGTTAATATGGTTACCATATATTTATTTTATTTTCTATTGAATCAAGTATGCCTATGTATGTATACAATAATTATTTGACAATTTTTGACTTTAACATTTTTGCTTTTAAAATCAAAAAATCAAAATGAAAAATTTAAACAAAATTAGAAATTAAAAAAGATAGAACTTTTAATTTATTTATCTTTATTATCAAAACATCTTTCTCTTTTCATATCTTCTATACATGCAACTATAATATATAAAGGCTGATTTACCACCATGGATCACAAGATTACGTATGTGGGATAGTCATGGTACATATGTTCCAATGAAAATAACAACAACAACTTTATCACCTGCCGGTAATAGTGGTTCATCAACTGGACGTGGTTCATTATATAATCAACAACAGCAGCAACAACAGCAACAGCATATATTTAATAATACACATTTTGGTCCATATTATTATAGTCCATTAAATCCAAAATATGGTAAAAATATACGTGTTAATATTGATAATGCATGGAATCCAGTTGATACATATATATATGGACCAACACAACCAAGTATATTTAATCAAGAAAATAAATATGGTGGATATTTACAACAAAAATTTATTGGTAATGGTATTGCTGGTGTTAAAGAAAGCTTTAATTTTATTGCAACTGGAAAATTTGATAAAAGCTCAAAAGAGAGTAGTGAAAGTAAAATTGGTTTATCAAGTGGTAATATAAGTGGTAAAAATAAACGTCGTTTAATGCTTGAAATTTATGATTATGAAACACCAAAATTATGTGATCATACAGCAATAACAACATTAACTGGACATAATTTAAGACCATGCAGTCCATTAGAAAGTTATGTTAGTTCTGGAAGAGATTTAGTAAGTAAAATTATTATATCTATTTATGAAATAATTATTATTCTCATATTATTTACCAAATTAACACACTTACATACTTTAGAATTATTTTTTATATACATATATGTTGTGTATAATTATTCGAAAAATATTTTATTTGCCAAAAAAGCAAGAAATTAAATAGATAGTTATGAGCTTATGAACAAGGATTATTGGGAAAATTTTTTTTATTACAATATCCTTACATTTTGTATGCATCATATAACGCTATATTATATAACTATAAATTTATCATGTACACAAAATTTATGTACATAGTGTTATTAAATTTTATAATCTCCTCCAATTAAACTAGAGTGTAAGGATGTTACTGTAACAAATTATCTATAAATTTTATACAATTCATATTTATGCGCACATGCACCCATAATACTTGAATTTACATTGTACATACGTGTGTATAATATGTTATGTTGTAAATTTTACAAATAAATTGGTTCATATATGTATGTACGTATATACGTATATAAGAAATTTATTTATAATTTATCGATTTTTTATAAGTAAATTTTCAAAATAAAGATAAAGTGAAAATTATTTTAACACATTTTTGTAGATTAATTAGTGAAAGTATATAAAATATATATGTATATATATTTACATATAATTGGGTATATATACATATAAATATTATATAAATAATCTACATAATATTGACAGAGAAAATTTATTCTATAAAATAGAATTTTATAGTGTATTTTGCTCTATAGTTAGGTAGATAACTAAAATTGCTTGTGGATTAAAAATATTGTATGCACTGCATTTGCTATAATATTGTATACTATATACACACACACATTATATATATATATTTTGAAATATATTATTATGGTTACATCATGTTGGATGAAAATTTTATGAACTGCAGAATAATATAATTTTTTTTTTACATACTAACATTTTAGTTATATAACATATACGTATAATATTGGTTTGAATGTTCTGTGCTACGACCTACATTTAAGACATAAAATTTGAGATAGACATTAAATTAAGGTTTAGTTGACATTAGTGACTCATAAGTGAGAAATTTTGCATATTTATCGGTATTCTGTACACCATTCTATCCATTCTATAGTATTTCAAATACCATAGGGTCCAGATGTCTATTCTAATAATAAACATTCACTTTATGCTACTGAGAATAAATTGTAATTTATACATTTAGTTAACTGATGCCAATACATGAACTTAAACCACCTGAATTAACTGTGGACATTCTTTATAAAATAATTAAATCCAATTTAAGTTAAAATATTTGGAGTTTTAAATGAAATTCTCGGTATTTTGGATAAATAGTTTATTGATAGCCTTTTAAATTTAATTTTTGTAAAAAATGATAGCCCTATGTGCACGGTTTAATTTATAGCTTCATAATTAATTAAGGTGCATGTTAAAATCCAATTTTGAAGAAATAATAATTAAACTATGAGAAATTTGCGTTGATGAGCAATTTGATTTAGGCAATATGATAAGCCTGCAATCAAATGCTCATTGTAAAATGAATCATGTCGCAAATATTTTAAATCTCATCGAGAACAGTTCTTATACCGAAACGCATATTTAAATACTGCTACCTATTATTATACATACTAATAGTGTACGAAAATCAAAATATCAACTTTGACTTTCTTTTTTTTTGTCGCGGAACGAATATACAGACATACCAACATTTTATTCTTTTCAATTTATTAGATATTTTTATTATTATCATTCGTACATGACATATTACAATAATTTTTTTTTTGTTCAGTATATTTTAAGTCAAAAGATTTAAACAAATCCTCACATCATTTACATAGTTATACAAAATGAAATATACAATGTCCTTACAAAGATTTACTTAACGTTTTTATCTCTGATCTTATAGAAGAACTTAAAAAATATTGTTCTCTTTCAATTTTTTTTTTCCTTCTTCTCTGTTGATATATTTTTACTTCTTATAAATTTTCTCATATAAAAAAAAAGAAAAGATTTACATAGTACTTTGCAAATCAAGGAGTCAGTTAAAAATTATGTGTCTTGTGAAAGTTAAAAAGGATATTTCACTTTCACTTCAAAAAAAAATGATAGTAGACGTTTGAAGAATGATAGTAGACACTAATAATAATTCTAGATATAGTAACAAATAATCTAGTATATAATTGTAGGCTTATTAATGACCAAGAATTTCAACTCAAATTTTGGGTTTATTTTTTAAAGTAAGAAAATTTTAATTGTCGTAGTATGAAAACGTTAAGCAGGATGACTGACTTTATAAGTGTTTCAACGACATCTTCTCAAATATTATTTTAAGTGATTATTTGGCATGTAATTTAGAATTGTCAATTTGTACTTATGCATTATTTCACACGTTGAGAATAATACTGCTACATCTCCAAATTGTTAATATTTTAACTAGCCATGTAGTTGAAAGCACAAAATATTTCTCTATATTTTGTCCCAAATCACGTAACGATATTATATCAAAAATTACCGCTTTTATTCAAAATTTTCTAAGTTGAGTTTTCGAACTTTTTTAGAGTGTATTTCTTGTTAAATTAAATACCGCGACATTTTACGATATCATCCAAACTCAAACAATATTTTAATTTAATACCGCGACATATTAAAACAAAATATTTCGGTCTTTAATTTTCGATATGAAAATAAAGCTTGAACTCAATTTTCTCGAAACTATGAATTTAGAGATGTTACAATATTATTCGCAAGGTGTGATTTGTTAAGCATTTCAATCGATTTTAACTATAAATCTAATTGAACTCAAAATAGATTAAATACAAAAATGTAGCTATAATTTTTTTTTGCATTTAATGAATAATGAAATCAAGTTGATTTTAAATTTTTTTTATATTAGAAAATTGACGGTATTCAATTTCGAACGGCTATTTTATATGATTTTTCGACTTAAAAGTATTTTAATCGTAAATCCATATCGTTTTTACCATTGGTCATCAAAACCAATTAAAAATTTTATTCTATACTTTCTAAATTTACAATTATCATGAATAATTGCATAAAGTACATTATTATGAAAAAATCTAAAACTACAAGGTACAACAAAAAATTTTCATAGTATTCGAAAAAAAAAACTACGGAATTTATTCGGTCAGTAAAACCATTTTTTTAAATCCTTTTTTTTTTGCCCTTTTTTGATCAATTCTATAAGCCCATCCATCTATCATTCTAACACTATTAATTTTTGCATAAATACCAAAAAGAGAAAATTTATAACAAAATATTCTTATGTTTCATACCATATTGTAGTACAAAAAAATTGTTTGTTTTATCAGTAGAGTATTTTTCATACGATTAATCCCTCTACATAAAATAAACTATGGTAAAGCAGATAGAAAATTTTCCTAAAATTCAATTATTTATGGTATAAAATTTGGTTATAATTACGCAATTTCTTTATATTGAATTTTTCAATATATATTTATATAACATTATAAATAGGATGTTTAGGAAAAAATCAAATTAAGCAAATTCATAGCACACTATTCCAGTATAATACTTTCATAATAGTTTTGAATAAACAGGAAAACAATGTGATTATAAATTTTGATAGTGGCGCACAATAAAATTGTAAAGAAATTAATATTGAAAAATTATCAGCCTAGCTTAAATTTGAAAAAAAAAAAATTTACTCCTTTTCACTAGAACTCTTGAACTTTTCGTAAACGAAATAATAATTTTGTTATTCAAGAAACTTCATTTTAATTAATAAGTGTTTTCTGCTAATCCTTCTTTACTTTCAAGTGCACAATATTAATTAATCAGAAAAAATGATATTACGAGTAGCTACAAACCCAACAACACTGAAACTGACAATAAGAGCAAAAATGTTTCAGCAACATAAGAGTACGTAACAAATTTTCTTTAATATTTAAAAATTTTATTCAATATTATTATTAATTATTTTGAAACACTCTGTATTTAAATATATAGCATAAATAGTGCGTATATTTTGGTTTCATCTCCTTATACATAATATACTAGTATATAGAAATATCACAGAAAAACACAAGTCTATTTAAAATATACAAAACTAAGTACGTATATTAAGTGTTGCGGGAATTCTAAGAGGAAGGGATAAAATTTATAACAAATTTATTTCAGTGATTATTTGTCGTTAAATATCTGGTAATAGAATTAGAAAATCAAAAAAAATAAATACAGTTTTTAGTTTTAAAAATAAAATATTTGAGTTTGTACAGAAATTTTTATCTGCTTCCTTTTTTAAAATTTACTACAATAAAGCATTAAATTCTGTGAATTCAACTAATGGCCAGAGTAACTATAATATCATATGGATATTGTTACACACATACTTACGAATCTGGACAACATATTCGTTATATATTATTGTTACACACAACATCTGGACTCGGAAACATAACTATTGGGCCGATTTTACATCTCTCATCATTATCTAAGGAACCAATACACGAAATCTGTTGAAATTCAATATTTTAGTTCTGGATGTTAACCGGAATTAAAGACTTTCACAAAATTTGAAGAAAGACAAAGATATTTTCGTGATTCAATGCTCCATCTGACAATACGGTCAATTATGTGATGTTCGCAGCATATTCCTTATTCTGCTTTTACACCAATTATACTTATATATACACACATAAAGCAATATTGCATTTTTAGCAAGTCTACCAATAATGTGCTATAAATAATCAAAATACTTAAAACTATTAACTTAATTTTACGATTTAAATAATTGGGTAATTTTCTTATAAAATTTATTTTAAAAATATGCACACACTTATCTCATATGAAAATATTATACGTTATTTAGCATTATACATTAATGTTATAATGTAAAATTAAACCAAACCATTATTCAGAAACTATAAATTGGTACATGTATAAAAAAATATATTTCATTTTCATATGTATACATATATACTCGTACATGAGTCTATTAATAATTAATATAAACTTAAATTAAACAGTATATACAAAAGGCTATAAAGATATGTGTAAGTATATTACATTATACAATATTGTAAACTCTGACCTGTAGGGAATGACTTAGTTTTAAAACCCAGTATATGTATATGTATACTTGTATACTTATATAGAAATAAATTATTAATAAACGTTATGTAATTGTTAAAAATAATAACAATGATTTTATTCGCGCATTATACTCAGCTGCTGCTAAGTTAAATTATTATATAAAAATCTCCAGGATAAAGGATTTAAATTTTATGATCTCATAATTTATTTAATAATATTTTTATAAGAGATTTTAATCAGTTTACATTTTACAATCAATTTTAATAAAATTTTTTCAAAATTTAATATTTTATTTTAAGCATTTCACCTGATTCTCGTTATTACCTATGCATTGGTATAACACAAAATTATTATAAGACATTGAAACCAAAATATATATTTATGTATTTGTATCAAATACGAATTTATTTGTACTGTTCCACTAAAATATATTATTATACCTTATATCTAGTATGGAGATTGAATTTTGAATACAATTTCCGTCACTGTCGCATTTAAAGAAGTTCTCAAATTTAATTCCACCAAAAACATTTTAATTTAAAATATTTCCAAAACGGAACCATATAACTTGCATATTCGGAAAATTTATCAAATTTATTCTAAATTAAGCTACCAACTCTAAAAACTCCAACTTAAACAAACTTTACATTTTAGTCAAAATATAACGCTTTGCGTAATATCCCGAGGTAATCAGCATTAAGTGGCAATAATTATAAATTAAGTGCACTACACTCATTAAGTTGAATTCATTGGTAAACATTAAGACGATCTACTTTTAAAGATGCTTTCATTTCTCTCATGAGCTATCACCGCCTCGTCTGAAAGTGCTGAACGTTCTTTTTTTCTTTGATTCCATTTAAAAATTTTAAATGAAGTTTTACCTTAATTTTTTGAAGTATGAAATGGCATTTTTAAGTTGAAGTTGAATGAACCTTTTTACAAATAGAAAAACAACTGCGCAAAATATAGAAAATGAGTGACCTTAACTTCCAAAATTCATTAGTTAGGTATTAAGACACAATTCAGCAATTCACACTTATAAGCTGAATTGTGTATTAACACCATATTACTGCATTGTGGAAGTCAAGAAGAAATTTATATAAAATGTATGCGCGGGCATTACATTAAATAACATATGCGGAGCACTTTAGTCGAACTAATGAATTCACCTTAAATAACCGTCTAGCGCTCACTTTGATGGTAAATTTTTTCATTTGCTCTTTTGAATTGACAACGCATCAAGGCTCTTAAATTAAAATTGTTAAATATATCACTGCCCCTTTTAAAGAATTTAAATAGTAATTTTTCTCTATAAAAGTCGTTTTAATCCTTTTATTCGCTCTATTACGGACTATACAAACATTGACATCATATATCAATATTTTGGATATTTTTAGCCAGCCCATTATGCTCTCTGTTCAGAATTTTACATAAATTTTTATTAAAATCATAGCTAGTTGAGGTGCTCTCACAATTATTTTTAATAATAATTACATTTTTTGTCAATAGTTTTTACTTAAATGAAAACCTTCTATAAATACAGAAAAGTACTATTAAATTAAATTTTCAATTATTTGTTATATACGCTTTATATTCCATAAAAGAGGTCAGAACCCAATCACAAACTTGTACATATATAGATACCTATGTATATGTATTCAGAGAATAAACAATAATACTCGTAATTATATTTTGCCTCATAATTTTTAATTATGGAAAAATATTTATTCAGTAAATTATAATTCTCCATAATACAGAAGTATGTATGTATGTATGCAGGTACACAATACTTTGAAAAGATTCCTTGTATATCATAATAATTTTTAATAAATTTTTATAAATTATATGCATCGTTATAAAATTATGCATTAATAACAGTTATACAAAGATTGTATTTACATACAAAAATATCAAGTATATGCATATATATTTTGTGTTTTTAAGTACATGTATGACAACTGTTTGATCAATAATTAAAGTTAATTAATATGTTCGATCAGAGGACACAAAATCTCTTGAAATTGTGAGTACTTAAACATGTGAATTTTTCACAATATTTCTTCCACTCTTTATTTTTCATAATTTAATTAAAAATAATTTTAATAATTTTTTGTGCATGAGAATAATATTTAATAATTCTTGAAATTAAAAAATATAAAAGCAAAACTTGCAACGCAATATTTATGAGTTCTATAGTTTTGGAAATATTTTGCTGTTGAAAAGCAAATAATATTGAGAAAAAAGGCGGTGTTATCTTTGTACATCATTAATAAGCAATAATTTTAAGGGTATGAGGAAAATTTTGTTGTTTTTCGGAAATATTCATGACTTATCGTAATGTCTGAGTACATAATTCCCATTCTTTTAACTATTTTTATCCAATATTTTATCATAAATTTGAATTAGTTTAAAACATTTCCAATTTTGCAATATATTTAAAAAATTATTAATATTTTACTTTTTTTTTCAAAATTGCTTACAGAAAATCGAATTTCATACACATACTGGTACTGCCTTATATCCAGCACAATTTTCATTAAATTATGAATTTGTTGATACTGAAATGGGGGGTGATTTTTGGCCAGGACGTCGTGGTGAAGATCCTGTACCACCATTATGCACTAGATTATTTAAAAAACGTAAAGGAAATGTTCAATCACCACGTAATGTTTTCTTATATGGAAGAGGTGGTGCAAAAAATCTAACATGTTTATATAGATTTGAAGCTGGTGTATCAGAACGAATAAAATTAACATTACATAATGTTTCATTTGGTGAAAGTACATCATGTATAACAGATTCAGATTTACATACTGGTCGGCCACGTTGTACTAATCAAGAAATTGGACAAGATGCAAGAATTAGTGAATTAAAATTATATGATGTACCATTTCGAGATGTTAAAATACCACTTGGTTGTTTATGCGATAATACAAGTGCTTTATATAATGCTCCATTAACTTTTATATCGAATTCACGTACAATGGAATTAACATTTACAGTTACAAGATTAAATATATCAGAAGATTTTGCTGATGTTTATTTTTATGCATCATATGAATTTAAACGTGTTACCGAATGTAGAAAAAAATTAAAATTAAAGGGTAATGGTGGTGAAGATGAAATTAAATATCCATTAAAATCACAGGATTCAAGTTGTGAAGGTTCTGCATGGTATATTGAAGTACAACAACCAGATCGTAGCTTATTTATACAAACATGGGGATCATATTTACCAAATGATCCAACATCAGAAGATGCAATGCGATGTCATACAAAAAATCGTTTAATGATTTATTCTGGTAGACCATTAAAAATAACAAGAGTTATATGCCCATCACAGCCAGGACCAAGACCATCATCATTACAAATATTCTCTGAGGATTGGGTTAACGGACAATCAATTTTTACAAATAAGTAAGTTTTTCTTTTTCATTTCTTAAATTTTATGTGTAGCCTATAATAGTTTCCGTTTTATTTTCAAACTTAGCATATTTTAGTCTAAATTTGCTTTTAATTGCACCGACTACCATGATTCAAAAATTTATAAGGTCTGGTAAATAGTATTGACGACATTGGGAAATGAGGCGACATTTGGAGAAAGTATTTATATCGGAGGGAATAATGGTTTAGATCGCTCAATACACCATATTTCATTAATTAGATTAATCAAATATGGAAGCCGTTATCACTTATCTAGAAGACCTTGTAATGAATAAGACCATGTTCAGAGAGAAGCTTCTCTGTTTATCTGTAAAAAGCATGAGCTTCTGTATTGGTTTTTTCTGTACTTTTTTTTTGTAATTTTCCATATAAATTAATTTTAAACAGCAAAATTGAAACTTTAATTTGCTATTTTTGCTTTCAATTCAAACTGCTCTTTACCATAAAATTCATGTTTCTATCAAATGCTTTTTTTTTTATTGCAATTTTGGTCATGTTACTTTTTTCATAAAGTCACTATAAATCATTGATATAAAACCAAAATGGCCAATTATTTTAAACTATAATGTGTTCTAAAATGCATGTCAAAATAATCTAAAGTTATTTTTTCAATATAAAAATTTTTTAAAAACTTTTCTGTTCAATTGCAATTTTGTTTTCAATGTCCTTTTTTTTTTTTTGTGAAATTTCCCACAATAGTACAGAAAAACTTTTATTATAATGACCATTTTTTTTTTCCTCTCAATAATAGAAGAAATCTTTTTTTAAGTTGAGAAATGCTATTTAGATCTTACAGAACGCTTACAATTTATATAGAGATTTTCGTGATTTAAGAAAAAAATTCCTGTTATATGATTTTTGTCAATAAGTGATAGTATGTATGGTTTAATGATTTTTGTTATTCTATTGTGTGATTCGGTCTATTGTTAACCACAATTTTTTTTTTATTCTCAAAAATAGATTTATTGTGATACTTTAATGTCAAATTAGAAGAGATTTTCATCATTCAAATATAATTACAATTTATTTATTTTATAAAATCAATTTTTTCTTCTATAATTCTAGACCAGTTAGTCTGATATTAGAACCAATATTTAAAGAACCTGGTGAAATACATTTTAAATGGTTAGAAATTCAACATACTAGATCATCATTTCTTCAACAATTGGATTTACAAGCAAATTTCACTGCAATCAATGATACACTCACGGAATTTGGATTATTTCCAAGGGAATCTGATTGTGAATATAAATGTCCTGAAATTGATGCTTGTATATCTGGAAATTTATGGTGTGATGGTAAGTTTTGTTTTTTACTCCAGACTCATTCATTAATAATTTTAAAACATAATCCATTAGTTCATTTGAAAACTCTTTTGTTTGAGTAGATAATTAAGAAAATTTTTGTATATTGTTGATATTAGTGTACTATATTTAATAAGGGTTAATAAAAGACGGGGTTAAAACCATTTTAATTTCCTCAGAGAAATGCATTTTTATGCATGTATGTAAGCTTGATGTTTGATGTTAAAGTAAAACTGATGGTACAAATTTTGTTATTTTTTGATGATTTTATCACCATACCTTCTTTTGTTTGAAAAAGTTTTGCTTGTATTTACTATCATCATGTCAGTGGTCTGGCTCTGCATCCATCTATTTCGATAAAGTAGATGAAAACCACATAGCAGCTTTACAAATTTTGTGACAAAAAGATAAATTTAATATTTATAGGAAAATTACCGTTTCCAAATGGTTTATTCGCATTTTCCATACACTTTACACTTGTGTTTAATTGCCATAAAGTTTACACAAGAGGAAAAGAAAAAAATCTGATGTGGTCAGCACATAACCGACCGCATTGTATATTGCCTAGTTAAGTGAAAGTGTTACAGAATATTATAAAAATGTCTGTTAAATACTTCTTTCCAATTTTTAGGACATTAGTAAGCTTATAGTTAACATACTTAGAAAAATGTAAATTTGGCTCTTAGTAGTGTTTCGCTTTGTGCTACCTGAATTCCCTGAAATGCTCGCCAGTTAGTTTCGGTAACAACCAGAGCTCAAATATCAAATTTCAAGAAATTCCATCAATTTGTACTGTGGATATGGTGAAAAATGTAAAATCGGCCCGCAAATCAGTTCTCGAGCCCTGATCTTTCCAAAAAAGTTATATGTTCATTGCTTTAATCTGAGGAATTCAAATATTAAATTTCAATGAAATCGGTTGATTATTTCTCTTTATATACACAAAAGTGTATGTTTGGCCCGTAGTAAACGTCTAGTTGCCGATGCCTGATCTTTCCAAAAAATTTACATGTTCATTGTTTTAATACGGGGAATTCATATATTAAATTTCAATGAAATCGGTTGATTATTTCTCTTTATATACACAAAAATGTATATTTGGCCCGTAGTAAACGCCCAGTTGCTGATGCCTGATTTCTTCCAAAAGTTAGGAATTTTTGCGTATGATCGAGCAAAGCTTATATATGAAATTTCAAGTAAATTGGTTGAATACTTTCTTCAAAATGGTGAAAAATGTAAAATCGGCCTGCAAATCCGTTTTCGAGCCCTGATCTTTCCAAAAAAGTTATATGTTCATTGTTTTAATACGAGGAATTTATATATTAAATTTCAATGAAATCGGTTGATTATTTCTCTTTATATACACAAAAATGTATATTTGGCCCGTAGTAAACGTCTAGTTGCCGATGCCTGATTTCTTCCAAAACATACACATTTTTGCGGACGGTCGAGCTGAGCTTATATATAAAATTTCAAGTAAATCTGTTGAATATTTTCTTCAAAATGTTCAAAAATGTAAAACAGGCCCGCTAAAAAGTGCAGTTCCCGAGGCCTGATATACACCAAAAGTTGATCGATCCGTGCCATGGTGGAAACAAACTTACATATAAAATTTCATCAAAATCGGTTCAGCCGAACTTGAGATACACGCATGCACACACAGACCGACAGACGGACAGACCGACAGACCGACAGACCGACAGACCGACAGACCGACAGACCGACAGACCGACAGACCGACAGACCGACAGACCGACAGACCGACAGACCGACAGACCGACAGGTTGCTAAAAATAGTTTATTTACACTTCCCTACTATGGAGAAGTAAGTTTCCACCGAAAACTCGATATGCAAAATTTGTTGCCATCACATAACCTACCTATTGTTTACACAATACGGTCGGTAAAAAAAGTTAATATCATAATTACATAGTAAATAAAAAGGTGTGGTGAAGTTGTAACAAAATTAAGTAATAGATTGATTATTTTTAAACTGCTATTTTCAAGTCTTAGCTTAATTTAGACCAAATCATTGTCATTCAAAATATATTTCAATCTGGAAACATTATTCGGAAGCTGCAAGGGAGAACTTGTATTCGATTCTTAAAAAATATTTCATTATCATTGAATTAAATAAGTATTTCACATCTAAATTCCCAACCTGAATTACGATGCTGAATGCGATGCAAAATGAGAAAAACGAGGAGTAGAAACAGAATAAAAAATATTTAAATTTCAAAAGTTAAACATAAAGAACGTCGCGTTTTTTTGTAGCTAAGAAAATATACGTGGCACAGTATTATTGGGTATTAAATATTTCTAGTACCCAACCAGTTCAATATAACAACTAATTATTTCATTATCAATAAAAAAGTAAGTTGTTGAGAGCCATTATTTGAATTGCACATTGAATTCTATTCTACTTCTGTAAAGAGAAGAATAATTTGAAAAATTACATTTCTCATACTATCATCCATAATGTCAGCAAAAATAATATGTCATATTTGTTCGCTCTATTTTCTCTTTCAAATTGAAAAACTCATAATCCAAATTTAAGACACCTAAGGACAGCACAATATTTCCCTCACAAAAAATTAAAATAACCATAATTAAATAAAATTTATTTTTCAGTTTATGTGTCTTTTAAGTATTTAACTTTGTTTTCTAAAATTATATAATAATTTTGTTTTCACATTCTTCCTTTCTTTCTCTATTATTAATAATAAATCAGTTTGCTAATTTATTTTATACGACCATTTTATTTTCTTATGATAATAAAAAATAAAAATGTGAAACATAATATTCTTATGTATATAGGTAATGAAATATATCATTGGTCCTAATCACTATTTGTATAACGTCTTATCAAATTCAATTCTATTTTTAAAAATTGTCGCACTTAATAAATAAAAACAGGACTAATATCGTAAACCAAAAACACTTAAAATGTTTTGATTTAAAACAAAAAAATTTTTTTTTACCATTATATTGTAATTATAGTATTTTTTGGCTTCAAGAGAAACCAACACCAGAATATAAAAACTATAAAAACAAAATGGAAACCAAAATTACCCACAAAATATTTTATTCGGAAATTCTAGAATTTCATTATTATTACACAATACAATAAAATAAACAGCAAAATATAATGCTATATATAGAAATCTAACAACCCAGACCCCATCAAATTCAAATAATCGGAAAAGAACATTTAGTGAAAATTTACACAAAAAAAAAAAGAATTCTATATATTATAATCGCAGCAGTAAATGAGTATATAATGTCGTAATGTCGTATACGAGTATGATATCGTAATTTTTAAGTGATTTTTGCTCATCATGGGGTCACTAAAATTTATTTTCACTCCCTTTTTTTCTTTCCATAACATACATTATGTGTGTTTGTCGTCTAGTGTCAAAATTTTGCATAATTATTTTAAATATTAACCACATATTTTCATTTCCCGTTTAAAATATCAGTTTGGTATTGTCCAATATTCTCATTATAATTTTAACATTAAAAATTTGAATTTATTTAGTCACACATTTTCTACAACCAATTAATTCCAGACCTCATTCTTCATAAATCTAGCCTACACAGTATAATAAAATTGAATTCCAATTTTTTTCATTAATTAGAACTTCTGAGTAAATTTAAAATTCTATTTATAAAATGCATTCTTCAGTGAAATTTGCGTAAGAACGGTTTAAGATTGTTTTTATTAAAATTTGTGAGATGAAACGAATGTAATAGTTTTAGGTAAAAGCTCAGCTCTACAAAATCTTAAAACTTATAATTTTAAATATTTTCAGATCATTATTAACAACACTATGACGATCAGTTTCTTTTTTCAAAGTTTCTTTACTGCAGACACACAACTATTCCAAAAATATTTTTTATATTCTCAATGGTTTCAAAACAAATTTTCAATCAATTTGTTTTTCTACCCTTACATGATTACAAACTCAATAATCTCTTTTGCACAAACTATTGAATTAATTTTTTTTTATTTCGGTGTTGCCCATAAATTGGAATCTTTGCTAAATTAAAAAGTGATGACTTAAAAGAACAAAATCATTTTTTATGCTTCTTTATTCTCTTTGAATCACAAAAACCACAAAGTATGCTGGTTTCAATTTAGTATGAAAATGAATTTGTCTTCAAAATATTCAAAATTATCTTTTTCGAAAATATCTTAAAGTTAGCCTTATTAACTCTTATTTTGCTATATCATATTGTGTACGTGCACCAATACTTCAATTTTATCCTTCTTTAGTTCCCATATATACATTTATGCTTGTTTTCATTTTATTTGAACTGAAATTCGGTTTTAGCCTTTTGTTATTCTTATTGTTCTGATTCATTTTTTGTGTTATTTCTTTTACAATTGCTTTATGAGCACCGTCCTTTAGATTTTATACTCTCTTTATGTTCACAAGTCTGATTGCATCCATAGGGATTAACCGCAAAATCATTTCAAGCTATAAAAAGAGAAGCCCTTAAAGAAATGAATGAATAAAGGAAAAGAATTATCCTTTTTTTTGAATTTTTCTTTTCGTCTTTTTTTTTTTTGTTTTTTAGTTACAATCTTATTCATTTCGGTATTATTTGTCAGTTTAATTTTTTTTTTTCTGTGTTATATTTTTGAAATCCTTAAGGAAGATACAAGAACAGAACAAAACAAAATAAAAAAAAAAACAAACTCTTAAAAGATAAATTGAAAGAAATCAATCTCATTCGCTCGCTATAGCCCCTTACCAAAAAAAAAAAAAATAAGAGCCAAAAACAAAACTTGGAAAAAATGTTAAAATTTTGTAAAAGAAACGAAAAAAAATAAAGCACTTGAAATTTGAGAATGAGAACTTTTTTGTCATATCTTTTACTTACACACGAAATAAAAAAAATAATAAAAATAAAGAGCGAGTGAGAGAGAAAAGTAAAAGAAATGGAGAGAAATTTCCTTTTTTTTTTGCCTTCAAATAGAAAACCAACAA